CATGAAGTGTAGACGCATTCAATTTTACAATTTTATATTCTTTTCCTGAATGTAAATCCCATACAAAAACATATGTTCACATACACATACTGGGAAAATGCTAATATATTCCTTGTACATTGAAAGAATATAAACTTTTCATTGGTTTTCATTTTGTCTTACCTTTCAAATACTTCACAATATTTGTTTATAGACAGAAATATTTCACAATATGTGTTTATAGACAGAAATGCATGCTAATCAAGGGCTGATGATGTGAGCACTTTTTTAAAAGTTCTTCAGGCTAACATTGTGGTTTTGTGGTCTGTTGACTTAAATCCCATTACATCATCTAATTGTGCACTGGATAATTATTAGATTCATTTGTGGTTATCACACATACATTTTGCCTTTTTAATTCCAGAAGAATGAACCAACAATCCTCAGACCATAAAACCAAGCTTTGCTTTACAGCAAACAATGATTTTTATTTCTAATAAAGAGATTTAAAGATTACAGAAACACTAGTCTTGTTAATGGAAGGAAAGGAAAGATAATCAAACTAAAAAGCTCTAACACAGTTCATAGTTAAGCAGGTGTGCAAATTATCTCTCTACCCATTCAAACATGCAGTGAACATGTTATGATGCTATTCTTTCCCCTTGGCTGCATAGATTGTTTTCATCTCTTCTTCAGACCATAAGTGAAACAATCTTAAGTCATCTCATGGCTGGCTGCGGTACTCTGGGAGTTGAAGTTCAGAGGTCTTAAAGTTGCCAATGCTGGACACTCTTGCTTTATTCCATTCATTCCAAATGACTTCACTTTTATTCTTATATTCATTCTGTTGAAAGCATGTATAGCCTTCTTTACCAAATTCAAGAACAATTTTTTTATTTCACAAAAATGCTAAGTATTCTCCCTCCCAGTTTTTGTTAATATCTTTTATATATACATTATTTAATACCTTCTATGCATTGGGTTAATATCTTAATATCATTTTTAATGTCCATTTTCTCATCCAGTCTTTTTTTACTTCATTACTCCATCCAATATCCTTTTTCATACAATAGTTATTAGTGTTAATTCCACGCACTTCAGTGGCACTCTGCAGTATACCTCTTTGCACTCTATTTCATGCAGCTTATATATCCTTTCCTTGGGTCTACTTTTACTTATTTATTTTCCATTTGTTCTGTTGGGAAATTAATTTTCCTTCCACTACAATACTTTATTTTCTTGCATTTAGTTATCATTTTACTCTACTTTCTTTCACTAGTATTTTTTAATATTAATTTTTTAAAAAGATCTACTCTAGATACTATCAAAGATGTTCTGTCCCACATTCAGAACTTTTCATTGTTCACTTATGGTCTCAGTCTTACATCCTAAAAATTAAAATTAGACAAGCTTTTTGATTCATTCCTTTTCCATCTCCCAAGTGAATCGATTTATGTTTAAAACATGTTTTTCGAAGCAAGTCACCAAGCCATTATAATTCATTCATTTACAGTTGAATCTCCACAGATATCCTTTTTATTTCATTCACTGCACTCCACAAAATCACAACACTTTCATCCAGACCTATTAACTCTTTCCCTTTCTCCTGCTTTTGTACATTTATTTTTTGCATTTCTAGGCTTTTGGTCTTATAGCAACTCTGAGCTCAACGCTGTAAGGATAATTAATTTGACCTTACAGGACACTTTTATATTCCTGAAAAAACGTATGCAAATGCCTATGTTGGGCCATAGAGACATTTTGTTGCCCTGTTACCTTCGTCTTTCTTGATCTAGATTAACATCTAGATTGAAGTTTGTCTCCTTACCTTTTGGTGTTCAGTGACTTCAACCTTTATTGTTCAGGAAATGTCAGAGTTCATGGCCTACAAAGTGATCATACAATTGTAATGGATTGATACATGCCAGTAAAAGTATGCTGGATCTCATTTTCGTATCAGAAAAATTATGCTGTGGTTTGGATATCAATGGCATTACTTTTGCTAATTAAGACTAACTGCCACCTGCAGAGTTGGGGGCCCATCAGGTGGGTCTTTGTAGGTATTCAATCAATCTGGAGGGTTTTGGAAGGCATTTGGGGTGAGTCCTACTCATTGCCCTATTAATAGTGTTTATATAGTGTTTAGCCCTGAGTCCGCAAGGAGAAGGGCGGGGTAAAAATTCAATAAATAAAATAAATAAATCCAGGTTCCAACCTTTGAGGAAATAGGTTGTTGAATATGTAGTGGGAACTGATCTACAAAGTGCCCTAGAATAGGTAGATTATCTACACGTTTTTAGTTTGTGTTCGGGTTGAATGCTACGAGATGTCATTTATTGATTCAGGATGCTGTATGATAAATGTATGTATTTATTGTTACTCTGGGCCCCAGCTGTTCCATCTCATCTCAGTGGAGGCAACAGAGGTCTTAATGGGATGAATGAGACTACAATTTAACCCAAGCCAAGACAGAAACTGCTGTTGGGGTGCAGATGGAAGTTCTGACTAGGAAGAATATATCCCTACTTGGAGGACTTGGGTAATTCTTGATATTATCACCATTTTGCTCTATTCTCTACATGAGGATGCCTTGAAGACAACTCAGAAACTGCAGTTGGTTCAAAACTGTAGTTTTCTTAAATTCATTGTTGTAGACATATTACACTTATATAGCAGTCCCTATAATGGTTGCCAATTGTTTCCACAGAAAATTCAAGGAGATAGTTTTAACTTACAAAGCCTATATAGCTTGGTGCCCATGACTTACAAAAATCAACATTTCAATGCAATTCTCTCAGGAGCAACAAACTGGCAATACCCATGAGCTAGAAGAGAACCTGAGGACAGTAAAAGTAGTATTTCAGACATACCACCTACACTTAAGAACAGCCTCCCCTCCATTGATGGCCTCGTGAAAGTTGGCCAAAGAGGCACTCATCTGTTGCATCAGACATTGATCTGTATTATATATTTGCTGCAGGATACTCTGTATTATTTTCTGCTGTGGACATTTTAATTTCTACTGAATAACTGAAATAAACTGCTTTTAACTGAAATAAACTGCTTGGAATTTGGAAATATTCAATAACATATCAACACAATAGGGCCACAAATATTGATCTCTGCTAGTCATCAGAGCTTTGGTTAATTAAATCTTTCACATATCAGATTCAATAAAAGATGTAGACTAGGCTACTACTCTTAATCACATTCATGCCACATACAATATTCCCAGCTAATTGCAACAACAGTATCAGTCAATTCTGACAGCTAATATACAAGCAAAATAAAAGTCCAATTTTGCCCCAACTGTAGTCACATCACAGTATTTTATTCAAGCCAAAATCCCTAATCTACAGATTACCTTGTAGGTCGGTATTCCATCATCTAGAATGTATTTGCAGAATGCATACACTTTTATTGGTTTCATGTTTTGAAATATATTTTCCTAGAGTAGTTAAATAAACATGGCTTTATTTTTAAATTTGTGGTTTTCTTACAAGGCCTTTATCATGGTCTCTATATTCAAGGTGAACCCAACATATGTCACTATTGTTATGTCAATCATGGCTTTCTTTTTTAAAATTTGGCTTGGGGACTCACTTCACTCTACTTTTTTGACTCATCATCATCATCATCCTCCTACATTTTCTCTGGGGCACAAATTGACATATTTGGATCTCTCTTCATTTAATCTCCATTTCCATTTTGTTGAACAGATTGGGCTAAAACTGTCCCCAAGTCACCTAGTGATTTCTAAAGAGATACGGAAACCTGAATTTGGTTCTCACTGAATACCTTAACTATTAAACTACATCAACTCAACAAAATTCAGCATTTTGAAGGTGTTTCCGAGTTTCCTTATGTCCACCATTCCTTAAGTTAGTAAATATCATTAACTCATGTTTTTCTTCTTTAATTTGCTATGCTATTCCTGATCAGTTTATTTTCCATTCTCGCTGTAATTTGCCTGCCCTTGTGCAATTCAAACTTCGCCCATATTATGTCCTACATTGTGTAGTGTCTTTGATACTTCAGCATGACCGAGACAACAACAACAACAAAAAAAGTGGGTTCCAGGACGAGTCCGAAACCTCAGAAGACAAAACCTCTGGTCCCGGTGCCCGACCTAGATGGGATCCTGCCAAAAAAAAAAAAAAAAAAAAAGTTTTTAGGAATATCTTTAAAACCGAATCCCTCCCAAAAGCCCCTTGAACGATTACTGCATTGCAACCAAGCCAAGGCAGGCAAAAAGAAGACGGAAGCCAGAAATGAAATCTCCATCCAGGACAGTCCAGCTTGCAAGCGGTCCTTATGCAGAGGGTCCAGTCTCTGCATAGGGGCTCAGTCCAACCGATGGCCTGAGGAGTGGCTCGCGGGGCCGCCGGGCTGCGAGAGCTGTGTGTGACCACGCCATCCTTCCGGATCCCCCCCCCACCCCCACGGTCGACCACGGGGCCCACTGGAAGCCGGCGAGGCAGGGCAGGGGAAGCGGCTGGCCCGCCTGAACCCTACCCTTCGCCCTCTGACCGCCTAAGAAAAGAGGCGGCGCCGCTCATTCGCTCCCACTCAGCGGCGCCCATAAGCAACATGGGGAAGGCGGAAGTGGGGCCTCGGCTCGGCGGCTGGAGCGTTTCGGCCGAAGGAAAGGAGGCGGCTGAGCGACCGCGCTGCTGAGCCTCCGCAGCGTTTTCCGAGGCGTCTTTCTCTCGCCGGCCCTTTTTTCCAACCCCGGGGATACCGAGGGACCCCCAGAAAGCTGTACCGGGGACGGGCGGCCCCGGTGGAGTGGGTCCCGTTTACCTTAGCAGGAGCTTGTTCCGTGTCTTCGGCAGACCCAAATTCTTGCCCGACACCCGCACCCTCTGCTCCCATTAGTAAGAGGTGTAGGTTGCTTTGCGAGCAGGATTTGCCGGAGAGGATGCAGAGGAATCTTGACGGGTGTTAGCCAGGGCAAGTGCGAAATTGTAGTGGAGGAGGGGGGGGAGTATGTTTCTTTTTATTTAAAGGCCGTAGTCTCCGGTGGGCCTTTGGGTGTGAGTGAAAATCGGGTGGGTAGAGGGTAAAATCAAATACTGTCCCGAGTATAGGAAGTATGGAGAAGCAGAACTACCTCTTAAGATCACAGGGGAATGCTGAAAATTAATATCGGAGAAAAGAATCTGAAGGGACGGTCAGGTAGGTTAGGGAACCTGGCCCACTTCATTAATGCTGCGGAATGAATAAGAATCTCAAAAATGAGAGTTGCTTAGTTATCTGAAAGGCTCTGTCAGGCTTTCCCATTGTGAAATATATCTTCTGACCCAGTACTTTTATTTTTGTGGCTATTGTTACTCAAGGTTTCCCCTTCGTTACTATGTTGGCAGAGCAAGCTCAAAAGTGGTTCCCAACTCATGTGCAGGTCACAGTCCTTCAGGCCAAAGGTCTCAAACCAAAGGGCAAAGGTGGCACTAATGATACATACACTATCATACAATTGGGAAAAGAGAAATACTCCACTTCAGTGGCGGAGAAAACCCTTGATCCAATATGGAAAGAAGAAGCTTCGTTTGAATTGCCTGGATTGCTGATGGAAGGGAACTCTGAAAAATACATTCTGTACCTGATAGTCATGCACAGGTCTCTTGTTGGGCTTGATAAGTTTCTGGGACAAGTGGCAATTAATTTAAATGATATTTTTGAGGACAAGCTGAGAAGGAAAACAGAGTAAGTGTTATTTTTATATGTCTTGTGTTGGAAATGTAATCTTTTGCAGATGTTGCAAATCTGTGGTTTTAGGAGATATAGCTGAACCTTGGCTTCCGTAATCTACCACTGCTCTTGTTGGCTGAAGCTAATGGGTATTAATGAGTACCAACTTCAGAGGTTACATGTTCTCCAACCCTTTTTAAAAAGGTTATCTTAAAATCTCCACAAATTGTTCACATAACTACCTATAAGTACAATTAGTATGAAGTCAGAGCCAATGAGAATTTATAGGCTTGCTCATAAAGCCATAATTCATTACTCATAGGGAGTTGAAAATGTTTTTTCGATTTGATGGGATCAACCATGAATTGTAGATTATGCACAAGTAACTTTACAAGAGAGTGAAATCAGTTGAGGTTTTGGGGATTATTTTATTTGAAAATATGGCTCATAAATCATGGCTTATAACTTGATGTTCTACATTGAATATATCGTGACAATAAGCAATGGTAGAATAATCTGGGAACAAGAACTTTTATTTGGATGGTATGTAACAAATTTGAGAGATGTGGTACTTTCTTGTCTGATTTATTGATTGCAGCTAAGATGTATGACTTGAAATCAGAGCCTATGAACTTCTGCTGATGGTCTCCACATCAGTGTAATCAGAAAGGGTAACATTCATGAGTCTGAGAATATGCTGTATCTTTGGAGATAATGTTGCTTCTTTTTTTCTACTCATGTTACATGTTATCCTGTTATTCCATACATAGTACAATATGTGTGTATGTATGTGTATACACAAAATGTTTTTGAATGTGATATTTTGGGAAATACAGGTACAGTATTCTTGGTTGTGATGTTCATTTCATTATTTATATCTTTACTTACTTTATATTTCCACAGTTTTTCTAATAATGTAAGACAATAACAAAGATACTATATGGAGGTTTGGCTTAGAGAAGAGGTGTCAAAGTGCCAGCCCGCAGGCCGGATGCGTCATGGCGAAACCGTGCCCACCCTATTGCTGGCAATGGAAAAAAAGTCATATCACGTGACATTGCGAGTTTGACATCCCTGGCTTAGAGTGACTGGATTATAATTGCACAATGAGTTCCTTGGTTGAATGGAAATCTCACAGATTAAAACCACCATTTCAACTCCTATGCTATCTAGCTTTTGATGCAGCATTTTAATAAACAGTATTAAACAAGTTTAGTACAGGGATATGATAATTGATCCATCCATACAGCTTTTATTTTATTGAATTGGGATATGTTTAACTTTTCTCATTTTTCAGAATATGGAAAATAACATTTGGAAGAAATCTGCTTGAAATGTTTACATTTTCTTACTAGATATATTTGTCCCAAGTATCAATTATCCTCCTAAAAGGCCATTTAATTGGGAAGCAATGAGGTGTGTCTAGGTTTTCAGCTGCAGTAGTGAAGTAGAGTATTGGATTTTGAAAAAAAAAAGTGAATTTTATCACAAACCATTTTTATTTATGTTTAATGTATTATGGTAAATATTTAAATTGTGAAACAAAGAAGTTTTTTCCCTTCCATTGACTTGTGTCCAGTTCTTTGAGACTTCCTGGAAAAGTCCCTGCAGTTTTTCTTGACTAGGTTTTTCAGAAGTGGTTTGCCATTGCCTCCTTCCTGGGCCTGAGAGAAAGAGACTGGCCCAAAGTCTCCCAGTTTCTAGCCTATTGCCTTAATCATATCAAACCTAGCACACTGCAGTTTGTCACAGAGAGATTTTAAGATTGTTATAGCGGTGGAATCTACTTACACATTTAGGAAGGACAGAATATTTTACAAATATTTCTAAATATCTTCATTTACAATTAAAACATGAGTTTTGACAAGCCTTATTGTATTGCATTGCTTCCCTTATTCACCACCATTTTGAAGTCAGGATTAAGAGTATTAGAGTATTAAATGGTTAACAGCACAATATTTGAATATCCTGATTTTGGAATTTATATACTCACTTCAGATCTTACATCACATGCTTTCTAGTCATCTTTATGACAAGAAATTAATTTAAATAGAATTGTGTAGTTAAAAGAAGCATTGAATTTCACCTTAATAGATAGTGATGTTATTTGGTCAATCACAATCAATTCTAATGATATGAAATACCAGTATATTTTGTATATACATATAGTATATTTATTGCTTCTGCAGTGTGTTCATATCTTGGCTTTTTAAATAGAGACTGTGGCCTAACTGAACAGTTATTTTCTTTGTGCACAACATTTATGTCAAGTTTATAATATTTTTATGTTATTTAATCTTGTATATCAATAAGATGAAAAAGTATGCAGGATTAGTTCAGAATTGAGCAATACTTTTATTAGGTTCAACATGTCTGATTAGTATCTTTATTAAAGCCTACCAAAATCACACAAAAAGTATTAAGTTTTCAAACTGTTCCAAACTCTAGATCAGATAGTATTTTATAATAACCAGGGAATGGGGAAGATCAAATACTTGAAATCATAATGTTGGGATTTAACATATTTGGAATCCTTTGTAAGTTTCTGAAGGCAACAATGAGGAATGTACTCCCACATAATTTACTGCATTGTGCAGCTATTAGTTAATGGGTATGATAAGACATAGAAAGGATACAGTATTTCTGATATTCTGTCTGACTGTGCCATGTATGTAGTTGAATTGTAGTGGCAGATACATGTGGAGCATCATTAATAGGCAGAATCTATTTAGCATATTAAGATAGCAAACCTAATGGTTCAGTTGTGTTTTCCTCATAGCTCTACTAGCATTGGGATATGCAATATTTATGTAGTTTGAAATAATTCAGAAGAGCTAAATATAGCATATGAATTATTTTATGCCAAATTTATTCTTTGCACCTGTTGCTTTCTTTGGTATTAGCAAAGAAAGCCACAGCCTTCTAATAATTTTAAGTTAGTCAGAAGTAGGTAAATTCATTCAAATTTACCTCTCAAATATGAATATAGGGCTGCAGTTTAAAAATATGGTCTGATTGTAATGTCATAAGATTTTTTGGTAAATGTTTATTATCTAATGTATATATTTCCCCTCTAATCCAAACACATTTTTAATTTAGGCAGCATATCAATGTGAAAAGATATATTTTTCTAGACAGAAAAAGTGCCAGTATACAGTATGTTTATGGCACTGAATATAAGAAGCATTTCTTGTATATGTGCTATTGTGTTTGGTCAAGGATATATTGTTCACTTCATCTTTACTTTAATAACATGGTCATTTTTTATATTTTTAAATAGTTTCAAATTATGTTATGCATTCCATAATAGCACTTTTTCCATTCATTTGGTGAAGCTAGAAAGGCCACTTATCATGCCATTCCCTGTGGTTTGTGATATTCTCCACTCTTAAAAATAAAACTCTTCATTCTTTAAGGTTGTACTTCATAACACAAAGCGAAACAGATGAAAAGATAGAGAAGGAAAAATGAAAAAAAAAATAGCATACAGTCTGTTCCTTTTTCTGAAAGAGTTCCTTTTCCATCTGTTGTATTGGGCTAAGATGCTAAGTTAACCCAGTGTAGACATTTGGAACATACAAACTTTAGGGGTTGGAGTTCTACATCAGATCCAAATTTCTTGAAATGAGAAAACTTATTTGGTTTTGGAGTGTAGACTTAAATGTTTTTCTGGCCAATGTCTACAGTATTAGATGCTGCTTGCCGGCCTTCATGCAAGCCATCTTGCCCGCTGACTTGGTTGAGGGAAGTTCGCAGAAAGTTGCCTTGAACTGGCAAACACAGGATTAGTTTAATGACCGCATTGCTTAGTGACAGAAATTCCAGCCCCAATTGCTGATATAAATCGAGGGCTACTTGAATATATTAAAACAGTGGGAGCTGCCTTTCTGCATTTCCAACGCAAGTATTTGGCTATTGCACCTTAACATAAATTGATGGTTTTGGGGGTAGTATTGTTAAGATTATTATTGTTTTCTAAAAACACCATATCTATAATTTGCATTTTAGGTATTTTGCATAGGCACCATTGTTCTATTATATATTCAGTGTTTGTATTGCTAGAAGTAATAAATATTCAGTGCATTATAACTATAATTGTGATATAGGAAAACATGATAATTTTGTGTGGTTATATATTATCATCCAAAATCCATTGCGGGGGAAACCAGGTTATCACAGAAATTTCATCATTATCCCGTTTAGGGGTTTGAGAGGCTAGAAGGAAGATAAAAGTTTTTCCAAGCATTTCAAAGATAAAATTGTGTTGTATATGAACAAATACAGTACTTTTACAAATAAGCTGTCCTCTTGTCCAGTACTTTAAATGTAAAATATAGGTACTAATCAGTTCTGAAGAGTGAGCTATGGTATCTAATAATATAATGCTGTTTTTTTTCCCAAGGTGAATAATAAATATAAATTGTATAAAATATAAATAATATTTACTTGCCTTCAGATATCTTGAGCAGATTTGCAGCATTTTATCTAAAATAATTCTTCAAAGTTGATGTAATTTTAACATTACTTACTTTTGGAATAAATGAACTCCAAGTAGTTGATGATTTTTATTAGTAATTCTTTTAGTTTAATAGTTAATACTTCCTATTTGCAACACACTATATGTATGGTTTTCTAAAAGACAGACTTCAGAGTCACTAGAGTATTATAAAAAAAGATATTTTAATATTCTGCATAATACTGAAACTTGTAAGCAGTTCTCTTGCACATGTTTTATTTTTGGAAAAGGGAAGATAACAGCTGATCTAGAATTCTAGAAAGACTGCAGAACTAGCAACTTGCTCAATTTTCTTTTTATCAGAGAAAGTTGTATTTGCCAGGCATTGTGACTTTAAAGATATATCAGCCCTCAGATCAAAGGCACAAATATTAACTTTATTGAAGTTGCTGTTAGTAATGGCTTAAGCATATTTCTTTAAAAATAATACGAATAATGAATTTGAAGCTGTGAAGTACCTTCTCTATGGCAAAATATAATATATTCACTCTGGCAGAAG